ATGATTTGGGATCATTCCTTTTGGGAAAAGGAAGTTTTTGGACTTCTACCACTCCATCTTGATACAAAAAAAATGTGGGGATCCTCCAAAGAAAGGAAATTTTATACATAGATGTGTAGATCATGGAAACAAGTAACTTTCAGACACAAACTGGAAGAAAAAGCCCCCCTGAAATAGCTGCTCTCATATAAACATTGAATTGCACGAATGAAACATTTTTTAGAAACAAATAAATATATATACAGAAGAAACACTTTTTTTCACTCAATTTGTATTCCAAACGTTCATTATGGAACTGAATTAAATATCATTCACCGGATTCTTCCACAATATTACTGAATGAAAAGTAAAAAATTTCACTTACATGGAACATTGTCATCCTCACTGGTAGATGTCGATGTTTCGCCGTAAGACACTTGCCTTAGGGGTCTTCAGTACCAATCTCGATAATATTATGAGAAATATAGTTTAAAAAACGCGATATACGCCTGATATACAAAAAAATATGACACAAAGCGCCCACGACTTTTTCACAATAATACTAGAATTCTTCGTTCGTTATTGTTTTGTTCGTTAAAATACATTTATTTTTCATTTTTTAGTTTCGTATACGTCTTTTTCAATCTTCTAAACTAGATTTATTTTATCTAAACTCTGGGATCAATCAGCCGAATATTGTTTAGAAAAATGACCATTAATATTTTCCGATTCCGGAGAGGAAGCTTGAAAATCAGTTACCAAGCCCAAGGCAGCAGGCGCGCAGAGGAGAGTTACAAATAAGGCAGCAGGCGCGCGTATTAATGAAAAAAAATACTTTTTTCAAATGAAGAAATACATGTCGATAATTCTGTCAAATACAGATCCCAAGCTTAAGAGTTACAAACAAACAAACATACATACATATATACATACATACATACATAAAGGTGGAGCTGATATGAAACGTGTAGAAAAACATCAATGACATCATAAGGACATTCATTCGCTTATTTGATCAACTCCCAGCCACAAGAATCTTGTTTAAATCGAAAGGGTTATATTTTCAAAAGTGACTAATTTTTGGGAAAGAAAGTTTTTGGCTTTCTACTACTCCATCTTGATACAAAAAATGTGGGAATCCTCTGGAGAAAGAAAAGAAACAATCAATTTCAAAAGAAGTAACTCAATACACATATTTTTAGATTATAACGAAATATAACTCGATGAATTCGTATAACCTAAAATTGATAAATGCATGATTTTGAGGATCAAGTTCAATATGATATGAACCATAATTTTGACCAACCACTGAAAATACAATTCTAGATCTTGTGTATCACTGCACATAGTCTTTACCCTGTTTTCACTCATTTTAATGTATGAGCAAACTCGCTTCTTTGAGCGATTTTGCTCATATTAAATATTTTGCAGATTTTTCAACCTGTCCTACAAAAAAGAGATTTTTCCTTCTTGTTAGAAGATTGCTCTCGTTCAGCCTATTCCCAAAAAGGGCAAGAAAAATCTTTCAGATCACTATAGACCAGTCGCTTTGCTATCAGTGATATCAAAAATCATGGAGAAAGTCGTGAATCATCATATCCTCAAATATTTGGAAGGCATCAACATCTTGAGCGATCATGAATATGGGTTCCGGAAACAAAGATCAACAGGAGTCATTCTATCGTATGTCACTCATATTTGAAATAACGCAATTGAGAAACATGGAGAATCAAGAGCTGTTGCGCTTGATATTTCTAAGGCCTTTGACCATGTGTGGCATGAGGGTTTGCCTCTTTTTATTATATATCAACGACTCATTGGAAAAAACCAAGAATCCAATATATTGCTCTGCTGATGAGAGCACACTTGTCTCGTTATTCCATTTGGATTTCCGGACATCGACTACGAAGGCACATCTTCAGCGGCAGCAGGAGGTTGCATATCTTAATGAGAATCTTGAAGTTAATTCGAATTGGGGTGAACGTAAACAGGTTCATTTCAATGCCACAACAACCAAGAAGATACATGTATCCGAATCGGATATAATAATGTCAGGTCAGACAATTCCGCTTTCTGTTTCGATAAGTTTGTTGGGGGTTGAAATGGACACCAGTATGTCTTGGCACGATCATGTCGCTGAAATTGCAAAGGCTGCTTCCCAAAAACTTGAGAGACTGTTTCGAACCAGAGAACTATATACACCTCAGCAACTTTTGATGCTTCATAAAGCTCAGATAAGACCTTCTTTGGTTCTCATGTATGGAACTCTGCTCCTAAACATACCCTGAAGTTGCTGGATTCCATTAAGAAAAGAGCCATCCGCCTGACGACACGAACATTACGTGCAACCTTGATAGCCTGGAACATCGAAGAAAGGTTGGAGATTTGTCTCTCTTCTATAGATACTTTCACGGGAGGTGTTCAAGTGACTTGGCATATTTGATTTCACCAAGAGCGTTACATATCAGAAATACGCGACGCACTCGTTTTGAAGTTCAACTCAATACACCTCGAACTTCACTGTTTGAAAACTCTTTCACCTCAAAAACTGCGTTTAAGTGGAATAAACTTCCTGGGAATGTTTTTGCAAATGGATTCAATCTCCAGCCATTCAAATCCAATGTGAATCACTACTTTTGCACAGGCACCGCTCTGAGAGTGCCTTGAGGATTTTCCTGTCCATCAAAAAAATCTTCTGAATATGATTGCACTATACACAACAATAGCTGGATGTAAATTAATCCAAGTGCCCAACTCTAAGGATCATAAAGTTCTCTTTAATATTAAATGCCGAATGAGTATTCATAAATCTCATCATGTTCGATGAAATGAAAGAAGTTGTTAAAGACAATGAATTGAGGCTTGGTGAATAACTTTAATAAAGAAATTGGAGAATGACTGCTGAGATAGAAAAACCAGATTTCATCTTCTCGAATAATTTTTTCACCTTATTTGTGGCCTGATTTGACAACAATTTCCTGGCTGAAAGATAACGAGAAGATTTTTTGAAATGATTTAAGAAAACCAGATTTCATCTTCTTGAGTAATTTTCTCACCTTATTTGTGACCTGATTTGACAACATTTTCCTGGCTGAAAAATAACGAGTAGATGTATGCAAAACAATAAAAATCATCTCAAATTGCACGGTTATTCAAGAAAAAAAATGACTCAGTTCAATCTCAAAATAAGTTTAGCAGTGGTTGGTGTTTCCGACGAATTTATTTTGTTCTCACATATAGTGAGTAGGCATTAGCCAGGGGAGTAGTTGTTTTCTGATAGGTGTCAGTGGACAAATTTCAGATATGCAGTTGGATATGATGACAAACCTGTTGTTTGTTGTCCGCTTCAGCCTAGTTCGAGGAATGATTCTCTGAATGAATTCATATTTCAATTATCGGAAATCATCGACTTCATGTTGATGATATACACTACCTTGCAGTGTCAAGTGGCCAAACAGTCCGAAACCCGTCTGCAAGTGTGTTCCAATAATTGAAAATCTACTGAAATCTACTGCGGCAGTTGTATCGCTAACAGCATATGCAGGAATAAGTTCAGTGAAGAATCCTGCACTTACACCTATCGAATATAATCCAATGCCCTTCGTGGTATTAGCCAGGGTGGTAGTTGTTTTCTGATAGGTGCCAGTCCATTAACCTACAGTGTAGGGAGTTGAGACTGGCTCGAAAGAATTGTTCTTTCAGATGATTTGAATTTCACTCTTGGTAGTGTAGTTTCAAGGAATATGGCACTCTAATCTCTCTGTGGGTAAAAAGTAAAGAGTGAACCATTTTATGTATTTTCAACTTTTACCCACCTTATGTGCATAAAGTATATTTCATATAGACAACACCACCAAAAAATGATTGTTTTTGTGTTGCATAACTCAAAAGCCATCTTAACTTTCTCAAAATAAGTTAGGTGCCTCCCAAATGACGAACTTTTGTCTTGTCTGAGAACTACCGATGTCATATGACGCATGATTTTGTGAGAAGTAATTCTTTCTACCTTTTTCCTAGAACCGATGTTCAAATATGCCCTGCTCAGCGAAAGAGGTTGCGTATTGATCTAAATGAAAAAAAAAGCAAAATAAAAGAATGATTACCTTACAAAGTAAAAAATGTTTCATTCATCTCATGAAAATACCAATAATAATTTTTTATAGAGTATAACTAAGTTAGTCTACTCAAATCATGAAATAAAATTTCAATTTTTGATTCCACTCTTTTCGGCGCGAAACTACTCTTACCGGCCAGACCGATACTCCCTTTCAGGATGTCGGTAATATGAAAGTTCACAAAGTATTAATTTTTATAAAACCTTTGAATCTTAAAAGAAGACACGAGCCACGAATATTATTGGCAAAAGGGGGTTGTCAAAGTCGATTTGTTGCAAAGACAAATATCGATCTCGACCGTCGAACGAAATTCTACTGTTTTCTTTCTCTACCGTTATCACACTGCTGTTCAGATCTTCCATTAATTTCATCATGGGTGTTAGAGTGGAACACGAATGTATTGGTGGATTCTACTTACCATAAAGAACAAATCCGAGTATGAGTTAGAAAAACAAAACTCGTCTATTTTTGGGAGGTCTATTCTATTAATCATCTTCTAACGATCTCATAGATACATAAATGACTTATTGATGAGAAGAGACGTCAATGCTTACGTGTTCTCAGATTTGTGCCAACCACAGCTGATGATATAGATAGATGATATAGAACAGTTCTGTTTGGTAATGGATCACTAATGCTGTTTTGTGAGCTCTGTTTGTAACTGACTTTCTCACAATCAAAATTGCCAAAAATATTAGAAGTCGAACCGTATTCGCTGGTCGATATCGAAGCTTAGTCCATGCCACAAAGGCTGTTGATAACAACAGTACATTCTTGGTTCAGCCTAGCACCACCGATGATACCTATGGTGAGTTGAAACAGTACTGGCTGGTATTTAATCGTCACGACTTTGTTTTGGAGCTCTAGTTTCAGCCATTGAAAAATATAAAAATTCTGATTACTCACCAACATCACACCTCTCTCCACTCCGTCCGAGCGGACACAGACAGGAAGGATCCTCTTCAGAGTTTTCTAAAGAACACCCTCCTCCTGGACCGCAATCCAAAGGACACGGCTTCACAGTAGCTATCGGTTTAGTCACCCTAGACTGAGAACCATTGTAGGTCAGCTTTTGGTCGAGCCTTGGAGCTTGGGTGGTATAATTCAGTCTGTTCGGTGACGTGGTTGTTGAATTTGGGATGTATTGGGGAATTTCGTTAGAATCTGTGGTGGCGTTGGAAATGGAGAACTCCATGGCGTCGATAACGGCGTCTTTTTGGTAGATGATGTCTTCCACTCCAGTGAGTTGTGAGTCTTCTATGGACGGTGGTGAGGCTGTAGAGTTAATTTCTGAAAAATGAAACAGAAATTTTCATTGATTGGGGAGATATCAGTTATTACGGTGAAAATATGAGTTGTAGTGATTTTTAGCNAAATATATTCCTCTGAACGAACAATTCGATTTATGTAGGTCTTCACTCCTGAATATATAAGTTTGACGCCCCCGGTAATTTCTATAATATCCACTGTTGAATTCTATAGTTGTCACCCTTGTTCATTCAACTACCTCCTATTTCAGCTCACCTAGAAACAACCTATATAACTTCGTTTTCAGATTTCAAATGTTACAGTAGTTTTACAGTACCACACTGTCAGCGGTCATGGATATCCTTCTAGATCTACCTCCTCTACACACTTTTCTGGAGAGAGACTAGATGGACTGCATATAGACTTGTGCACATTGCCAATTGCACAAATCAATTCAATGCAGAGTGCAACAGACTGTTGACACTGAAAGTCACAGCATTCTGGAAATCACCTCTGACTTTATGCCTCCAACTGTCAACTACGAACTGCCTTATAAAGCACTGTTCTCGAGTAGAGAGGACTGGATCCTCCTAGATAAGGAAATATTAAGAGCAGATAGTTGTTGGTTCACGCATGGATCAAAAACACCTTCCGGTTCTGATGCAGGTGTTTTCAGTCGCAGGCCCAGGACAGAGATATTAACCAGCCTAGGAACCTATGCGACTGTATTTCGAGCGGAAATTTACTCTACTGAATTGTGTGTGGAGAGATTGGAAGAATCCAACCTCGTACACGAGTCAATAAAAATCTTCTTGGACACTCAAGCGGCTTTGGAAGCTATTGGCTCCTACTGAGCAACGTCTAAACTGGTAGCTAATTGCCAAAAACGACTCTTCTCGATATGGAGACTTAATAGATTATCTCTGGTCTGGATTCCTGGTTGGATGAGGCTGCTTACTCTGTTATAAAGGAGGATGCTGCAAGCAGCTTCATCGGACCAGAACCTGTCATTGGCATCGCTTTAGGCAAAGATTGAACACCTGGATGACAGGAAGATTTATGGACTTCTGGCAGAGTCTTTCAGGATTGGCTCACTCCAAGGCGTTTATTCACCCTTCGTAGCTTGATAAAAAACAGTAGGGATGAACTTCGATGTATAACAGGCCTTCTTACAGATCACTGTCGTTTGAATCATCATATGCAGAGACTCGGACTGTCGGAACACAGTATGTGTCATCTCTGTTTCGAAAATGATGAAACAGCATAGCACATTTCACTAGTTCGGACTTCCATTGTTTACTATATAAAATGATTTGAAATCCCTGAAACAACTAAAAAAGAAGAATTGATAATGATTAGCTGAAAATAACAATTATATTAACCAAAATAAACCTGAAATGAAATATTAGTGAAATAAAATACAAGTAAAAATAGAACAATTGAATAAATAAAAATGAAGAAATGAAATCAGGTTTTTAGAGTTTGGCAAAGCCGTATTCTTTCCATCTGACCTGAAAGACTACTCACCATACAAACTAATCGGCTTCGTTAGAAAGCTGGGTTTATTTGGTAGAGTATGAATAGGTGTGAGCCACAATAAACCCTTGTGGGTTATGGTGGACATAAGCTAACCTAGTTTTATAGTGTTTTAAATCATTCCATCAAAATGATCATGAATTTACACAAAATAAACAAGTCATTAATTGCACAGATCATTCAGACTGTTTCACAAAAAATATCAAGAGAGCACTTTTGGAATAGTTACCAGATAGACGACGAATATTTGCTGCTAAATGGTGTTCAATGTCAGAGATTCCAACAGAGAATTTGAAATCGATTTTGAAATCTGAACTCCAACAGATACTGGATAATTGATTATCTCACCAAACTGTTCGAACATAAGTTCACTTCTAAATCAATAGGTTGAACCTTATACTCCTCTCAAATTATTCATGAATGAATGTGTAATGTGATGCTGGTGGATGGAATGAAAAATTTGTGTATGCTGTGAACCAACTGACGGAAGTGTCGGCAGAACTACATTGATTGCAGTGAATTGTATTCATCATTATCATTTTTGAGAAAATTTCGTCTGAACTTTTCAATTGTTCCTAAATGACTCTTATTTTTATGCATACTTTTACTACACAACAGTCAAGTCTTCGAACCAGAATCGGAAAAGGTCATTAAGGATGCTTCAAGAAATTCAGAACTGATTTGCGTACTATAAACTTCATGGCAAAGAACAGTTTATTCACAATTTGTATGATAAAATTATGGGCTTCGAGCGCAAATCAAAATTGTGGAAACAGCATCTTTTGCAGAATAGTGTGTCTAACTTTCCATATTTGGAATTATAAAACGTTATTACTCCTCAAAAATATCCATAATATAGAGACATTTTAATCAACAAATTCCAATTACAATTTCAAACGTTCAAAGCTGAGAAGGCAGTGGTTTCCATGCAAATGTTTTTCTCGCCATTTAATATTGATGTGGATACAGTTTCCGAAGACTTTCAAATGGAAGTGATCGTCATGCAGAATAATACCGATTTGAGAAATTTTTGCATTTGACGAAAAATGCAAAGTAAATGATGTTTCTGTTCGGAAGTGCAATCCCAGCAAACACAATGATGTAAAATTGACATGAATGTTACATAACTGGTAATACGTGTTATGTAACTATGTTACGTAAAACTTACATCCCTATTATGGCGAAATGTCCGCCACAAATACAACTTGATTTTTACGTAACACTGATGTCATTATTTCACATATATTTCATATAATTTCAGTGAGTAAATATAAACAAATATAACACTCGCTCGCAGAAAAACTTGGAATCATTAACTGGAAAAATCATCCTTCAAAAACCAAAATTTCCCGACCAAACTCTGCCTCCACAGTTTAAAAAAATGTTTAACCATGAAATTAATCAAAAATGATCACCTATCAGGAATGAATGATGCACGATCAGGAAGCTGCGTACGTGTAGTTACCCCATCAATTCCGGCTGATTTTGACCAGCTTGTGTCGAAAAAACAGTGCCAAATTTCTCTTTGAGAATTTCAAATAAATTCATTTTTGTTTGTTTGTTTGTATTTTGCATTGAAATTTGTATACGAAATCTCAACTCTTTTTGAATTTTATATTTTTCTATTCTAATTTTTATAAGTATTGCTTAATGTGCGGCCCGTCGAAAAAAAAGGTTGCTCATTCCTGTTATAAAGCATATTGTCTTCATCTATTTGGTGACAAAATGAATATTTTCGATCTGACGAAGTCCATTGCTGTAGCTTTACATGTATTATATTCTCAATAGAGAGGTCTATACTTGAAGAATTGGGAAGAATTAAATTCCATGTCTACCACATCAGCTGGAAACGACACCCATATTGACATTTGAACATTTTTTTCGAGTCGTTTCAGCCCTCCAAATCTCCTGGAGAGGATGGAATATTTCCAGCTCTTCTTCAAAACGGACTGGAAATAACTTTACCTATTCTCATAAAATTGTATAGAGCTAGTCTTGCGTGGAACTATATACCACACAGTTAGTTGACAGCAATATATACCTAAAGTTGGTCAGAAAGACCCACACCCTAACTCGGTACGACCAATCAGTCACACATCCTTCCTGTTGAAAGGACTTGAGAGACGGACGAATCAGGAGGGTGGCATATGCACCAGTGTGCATATATAACCGGTAATTCGACAGATTTACCATCAAACAACCTTGTAGAGGAAATTTTTCAATTCCTTGACAAGAAGGAGATTGCGGTTCTCTATATTGAAGGAGCATTTGACAATGCTTTACCTTAATCTATAGGTTCATCCCTGGCTAGGAAAGGCATAGGATCGACCATAACTGGTCGAATCTATGCCATGCTGGTAACAGAACTGCAACTACGACTCTTCAAGGCGAGGCCATTAGGTTCAGGGTCACCAGAGGCTGCCCTCAAGGTGGGGTACTATCTCCCCTTCTGTGATCACTCCTGCTAGATGCCCTCGACAGAAGCAAAGTAGATATGCAAGATCATGCAGATGACCTTGTCACCAAGGACCACGTGGAGAAGGGTTGCTTATAATAACCTCCAAAGAACGTAGACGATTTAACGCCACTTTTCCTCAATGTTGAGGTCATTCCATTTGGAACAGAGGTGAAATATATTGGCATTGTACTTGATAAAAAACTCACCTGGAACGCACACTTGGAAAAAAGTTTACACAAAGTTCAGACTGCCCTATAGACATGTGGATGAATTAGTGATAAAACTTTGGGTTCAGGTTCCAAACTAATCTATTGGATTTATGTGACGATTGTCAGACCAATGATCACTTATGGAGCAATTGCCTGGTGACCGAAGGCTTCAAAGAAAACGGATGAGGCGATGCTTTCTGGCTTACCGAAACAGGGTAGTCTGGCCAACAGTGGTACCAACAGTACCACACCGTCAGCTGCCGTGAAGATCGTTCCCAATTTACCTCTTTACATTTTTCTTGAGGAAGAGACTAAATAGGCTGCATGAAGACTTGTACACATTGCCAATTACACAAATCAATCTAATGCAGAGTACAACAGACTGCTGGTTGACACTGGAAGTCGCAGCATACTGGGAATGCCTTATGCCTCCAACTGTCAACAACGAACTGCCTTATAAAGTACTGTTCCCAAGTAGAAAGAACTGGATCCTCTAGAAGAAGCGAATATTAAAAGCAAATTGTTGTTGGTTCACACCTTAAGGTTCTGGTGCAGGTATTTTCAGTCGTAGACCCAGGACAGTGATATCAACCTGCCTAGGAACCTATGCGACTGTATTTCAAGCGGAAATTGATACTATTCAAGTTTGTGCGGAGAGATTGGAAGAATCCAACCTCATACACAAGTCAATAGAAATATTCTCGGACAGTCAAGCGGCGTTGGAAGCTCTTGGATCCCACCAAGCAACGTTTAAATTGGTAGCAAATTGCCAAAAACGATTCTCCTCGATAGAAAGACAGCTTCATTGGGCCAGAACATGTTATTGGCATCGCTTTAGGCTTTGCCAAACAAACATTGAACATCTGGGTAGCAAGAAGATTTATGGACTTCTGGCAGAATCTTCCAGGATTGGCTCACTCCAAGGCTTTTATTCACCCTTCAAAGTTTGATACCAAACAATTGTTGGACTCACAGTAGGGATAAACTACGATGTCTAACAGGCCCCCCACAGGTCGCTGTCATCTGAATCATCATATTCAAAGACTAACACTGTCCAAAGACAGTTTGTGTCGCCTCTGTTTGGAAAATGATGAAACAGCAGAGCGCGCCACTATGTGCCTGCCCCGCTGAGGACAGAATCAGATTTTCAGAGTTTGGCGGATCCGTAGTCTCACCATCTGATCTGAAAGACCACTCACCATACAAACAAATCGGCTTCGTTAAGAAGCTGGGTCGAGTGTGAGTGTGAATAGGTGTAAGCCACAATAAACCGGTGCGGTGGAGGAAGAAATACGCGACGCACTCTGGCTGCTCATCGTTTTGAAATTCAACTCAATACACCTCGAACTTCACTGTTTGAAAACTCTTTCACCTCAAAAACTGCGTTTATGTGGAATAAACTTCCTGGGAATGTTTTTGCAAATGGATTTATTCTCCAGCCATTCAAATCCAATGTGTTGTGCTTGTTTTTTGTCCTTTAAAAAAATCTTCTGAATATGATTGCACTATACACTACAATAGCTGGATGTAAATTAATCCAAGTGCTCATCTCTAAGGATCATAAAGTTCTCTTTAATATTAAATGCCGAATGAGTATTCAAAAATGTCATCATGTTCGATGAAATGAAAGAAGTTGTTAAAGACAATGAATTGAGGCTTGGTGAATAACTTTGATAAAGAAATTGGAGAATGACTGCTGAGTTGAGACTGAATACAGGACCCACGGGCTGCAACTCCCCAAAGATTTCCGAAATCACACGTCGTAAAAACTTCCCACAGGGACACTTCGATTGATTACATTTGCGTACTAAAGCTGCAAATTGTTCTTTAGGTTATAGTTTTCAGGATGTGTTCGTTGGTCAATAAGATGAAGAATTTGAAACTGAAATATTTTCCAGGAATATCAGTCAGAATAAATATTCTTTGACGATTAATACACCGAAAATATATTCATTGTTATCAGTTTATTGCCAATCAATATACAGGGCCCCTCAAAAACATCATAAACAGATTGAACATTTTTGTCAACAGTAAACAGTCGACGCTTGAAACTATTTTAAAATAATTGAACTAATCCACATGAGAAATAGTCTTGATGTTGATATCAGTGAAGAGCTCATAACTGTTTAATTTTTGCATGATGTAGAAAAAATTGTTTGCAAAAAAATGAAATTTTTTGAAATGATATTAGAAAAACCAGATTTCATCTTCTCGAATAATTTTTTCACCTTATTTGTGGCCTGATTTGACAACAATTTCCTGGCTGAAAGATAACGAGAAGATGTATGCAAAACAATGAAAATCATCTCAAATTGCACGGTTATTCAAGAAAAAAAATTACTCAGTTCAATCTCAAAATCAGTTTAGCAGTGGTTGGTGTTTCCGACGAATTTATTTTGTTCTCACATATAGTGAGTGGGCATTAGCCAGGGGAGTAGTTGTTTTCTGATAGGTGTCAGTGGACAAATTTCAGATATGCAGTTGGATATCTCGTTCACAGGCAGATGGGGCGACGACAAACCTGTTGTTTGTTGTATGCTTCAGCTTAGTTCAAANATATCGAAGCTTAGTCCATGCCACAAGGGCTGTTGATAACAACAATACATTCTTGGTTCAGCCTAGCTCCACCGATGATACCTATGGTGAGTTGAAACAGTACTGGCTGGTATTTAATCGTCACGACTTTGTTTTGGAGCTCTAGTTTCAGCCATTGAAAAATATAAAAATTCTGATTACTCACCAACATCACACCTCTCTCCACTCCGTCCGAGCGGACACAGACAGGAAGGATCCTCTTCAGAGTTTTCTAAAGAACACCCTCCTCCTGGACCGCAATCCAAAGGACACGGCTTCACAGTAGCTATCGGTTTAGTCACCCTAGACTGAGAACCATTGTAGGTCAGCTTTTGGTCGAGCCTTGGAGCTTGGGTGGTATAATTCAGTCTGTTCGGTGACGTGGTTGTTGAATTTGGGATGTATTGGGGAATTTCGTTAGAATCTGTGGTGGCGTTGGAAATGGATAACTCCATGGCGTCGATAACGGCGTCTTTTTGGTAGATGATGTCTTCCACTCCAGTGAGTTGTGAGTCTTCTATGGACGGTGGTGAGGCTGTAGAGTTAATTTCTGAAAAATGAAACAGAAATTTTCATTGATTGGGGAGATATCAGTTATTACGGTGAAAATATGAGTTGTAGTGATTTTTAGCAACGTAGAACTGTCATATGTATTAGATTTTATTTCAGATGAACATTTCAGCTGTAAAATTATGGTCATTTGATGGTTTCTGTAAGACGTCTACAAATAAATCAAAAGAGTTCTGAACAATTTCGTTCATAATAAGATGTATATGTGACTGTTTTTCAAAGACGATTGTTGGGGATTTCTGATTATGTTTTTAACCAAATTTCAGCCAAAAAGCCAAAAAAAATATGGTTTCATAGAATACATCTGGTTTTCACCCCAATCAATTCCTCCAAATAAAATTTTTGATTCACTCAACTTTTGAGATATGATAATTATTCAGTACCCCAAAATGTTTTCACGTTATATANAAAACCAAAATTTCCCGACCAAACTCTGCCTCCACAGTTTTAATAAATTTTCAACCATGAAATTAATCAAAAATGATCACCTATCAGGAATGAATGATGCACGATCAGGAAGCTGCGTACGTGTAGCTACCCCATCAATTCCGGCTGATATTGACCAGCTTGTGTCGAAAAAACAGTGCCAAATTTCTCTTTGAGAATTTCAAATAAATTCTTTTTTGTTTGTTTGTTTTTATTTTGCATTGAAATTTGTATATGAAATCTCAACTCTTTTTGAATTTCATATTTTCCTATTCTAATGTTTATTAGTATTACTTAATGTGCGGCCCGTCGAAAAAAAAAGGTTGCTCATTCCTGTTATAAAGTATATTGCCTTCATCTATTTGGTAACAAAATAGAAAGGTCTATACTTGAATTGTTGCAAGAATTAAATTCCATATCCCCCACATCAGCTGGAAACGACACCCATATTGACATTTGAACATTTTTTTCGAGTCCTTTCAGCTTTCCAAATCTCCTGGAGAGGATGGAATATTTCCAGCTCTTCTTCAAAACGGACTAAAAATAACTTTACCTATTCTCATAAAATTGTATAGAGCTAGTCTTTTGTGTAACTATATACCACAGTTAGACCAAACCCTAACTCGGTACGGCCAATCAGTCTCACATCCTTCCTGTTGAAAGTACTTGAGAGGATACTAGACGGACGAATAAGGAGGGTGGCATTATATGTAGCCCATCTGAATGATCACCAGTGTGCATATAGAACCGGTAATTCGACAGATTTAGCATCAAACAACCTTGTAGACGAAATTTTTCAATTCCTTGACAAGAAGGAGATTGCGGTTGCTGTACTTCTCTATAGTGAAGGAGCATTTGATAATGCTTTACCTGAATCTATAAGTTCATCCCTGGCTAGGAAAGGCATAGGATCGACCATAACTGGCTGAATCTATGCCATGCTGGTAACAGAACTGCAACTACGACTCTTCAAGGCGAGGCCATTAGGTTCAGGGTCACCAGAGGCTGTCCTCAAGGTGGGGTACTATCTCCCCTTCTGTGATCACTCCTGCTGGATGCCCTCGACAGAAGAAAAGTAGATATGCAAGATCATGCAGATGACCTTGTCATCAAGGACCACGTGGAAAAGGGTTGCTTATAATAACCTCCAAAGAACGTGGACGATTTAACGCCACTTTTTCTCAAAGTTGAGGTCATTCCATTTGGAACAGAGGTGAATTATATTGGCATACTTGATAAAAAACTCACCTGGAACGCACACTTGGAAAAAAGTTTACACAAAGTCAGACTGCCCTATAGACATGTCGATGAATTTGTGGTAAAACTTTGGGTTCAGGTTCCGAACTAATCTATTGGATTTATGTGACGATTGTCAGACCAATGATCACTTATGGAGCAATTGCCTGGTGACCGAAGGCTTCAAAGAAAACGGCTGAGGCGATGCTCTCTGGCTTACCGAGACAGGCTAGTCTGGCCATCAGTGGTTCCATCAGTACCACACCGTCAGCGGCCGTGAAGATCGTTCTCAATTTACCTCTCTACATTTTTCTAGAGGAAGAGGCTAAATAGGCTGCATGAAGACTTGTACACATTGCCAATTACACAAATCAATCTAATGCAGAGTACAACAGACTGCTGGTTGACACTGGAAGTCGCAGCATACTGGGAATGCCTTATGCCTCCAACTGTCAACAACGAACTGCCTTATAAAGTACTGTTCCCAAGTAGAAAGAACTGGATCCTCTAGAAGAAGCGAATATTAAAAGCAAATTGTTGTTGGTTCACACCTTAAGGTTCTGGTGCAGGTATTTTCAGTCGTAGACCCAGGACAGTGATATCAACCTGCCTAGGAACATATGCGACTGTATTCATGCTATTCAAGTTTGTGCGGAGAGATTGGAAGAATCCAACCTCATACACAAGTCAATAAAAATATTCTCGGACAGTCAAGCGGCGTTGGAAGCTCTTGGATCCCACCAAGCAACGTTTAAATTGGTAGCAAATTGCCAAAAACGACTCTCCTCGATAGAAAGACAGCTTCATCGGACCAGAACCTGTTATTGGCATCGCTTTAGGCTTTGCCAAACAAACATTGAACATCTGGGTAGCAAGAAGATTTATGGATTTCTGGCAGAATCTTCCAGGATTGGCTCACTCCAAGGCTTTCATTCACCCTTCAAAGTTTGATACCAAACAATTGTTGGACTACAGTAGGGATGAATTACGATGTCTAACAGGCCCCCCCACAGGTCGCTGTCATCTGAATCATCATATGCAGAGACTAACACTGTCCGAAGACAGTCTGTGTCACCTCTGTCTGGAAAATGATGAAACAGCAGAGCGCGCCACTATGTGCCTGCCCTGCTGAGGACAGAATCAGATTTTCAGAGTTTGGCGGATCCGTAGTCTCACCATCTGATCTGAAAGACCACTCACCATACAAACAAATCGGCTTCGTTAAGAAGCTGGGTCGAGTGTGAGTGTGAATAGGTGTAAGCCACAATAAACCGGTGCGGTGGAGGAACGAATAGTCCCACTCACTTTTGACCTAACCCCACTTAACACAAAACTTTGACCATCCGTTACATGTTCATTCTGGTAATAATATTCACTTTCTTCGTCGGTAATTACGAGAAAAAATAAGTTTTGTTATTAGAAATTTGTCCTCAGTTTCCAATTGTGTTTCTTTAAGAAGTTGATTCTTACCATAGCAACTATACCCATCCTCCCGGAGAATGAAGCCTTCTTTACAATCGCATTCATACATTCCATCGTGGAGTTCATAGCAAAGTTGCTCACAGGGGCTCTTTACGCCACATCGGCCTGAAACAAAAAAAAGCACATTTAAGACACGCGTTATTGTGAATCGAATAAAAAATTTTCACGTGTATTACTAATCGATGAAATTTAATCGATATAAATAAACGATGGATGATTGGGTTGTTAGTACTCGATTATATTTCAATGAAAGAATGCGTTGGATTAATGAAGTTCGATAGACCACAATGGCATCACAGGCGCGTTATTTTACAAAAATGCTCCAAAATCTTCAACAGCAAAAAAATGGTATGATTACTCTCTGTAGAAGACACGCATACACCATGAAAATGAATATTTTGGATAGAAGGTCTAAATATTCAGCCGTCCCAACATTCCCGCCGGGTAGGCAAATTCCTTTCGGAAAAAACTTTTATGGATAACACCATGATGGATACTGGGTTTTATCATACAGAACAAAAGTTATTTTTAGTAGAGAGAATCAGAGCTTTTATTTCTTTTTTTTTGAATTTTTTCACCTTCCAAAATCTGAAAAAAAATGTAATGGAGGAATGTCAATTTTGACTATGAAATAAATGAAAAATTTTACAGATATCTTAAAGTTCCGGAAGTCAAAATATGCCTTCATCTTCAGAATTGAAAAAAATAAATGTCGGCTTACAGTATATACGACGTCAATTCGAATGGCATAAAAACTGAATAGTTACCGAACGTCGATACAGTTGGCATACTCTGAGTGAGAGGTAATAAATTCATACGAGATCTAATCATTATTTTTATGTGGAAGGTTGTATATGTTAACTAGTGAACTTATCAGACCCGATACTTAGTCTTTCATTCAGCTGTTCGGACTGCCTTTTGAAACATTCGAAGTAATACCAAGTATTATGTGAAGGAACTCAGAGTTTTTCAACAACCTTGATTTTTTTCAAAAATAATGTCGACTGTATCGGGAACGTTTGGAAATATAGCGAACCAAAATCTGCAAGTATTAGAATTATGTTATTCACGATTAAAGAGAACGAAATCCCGGCTGATAGGAAACTTATATTTGCCAAGTTCTAGGATATGAATCTTATTCTTTCCCAAAATACAGCTAATCGACAGCAATTATATGCCTCTGCAAAAATCCGCCCAACGTCAGAGACCAATTGAAATTATCAACAAACACCTTATTTCATGTATCACCAATTCAACAATCCAAATAATTCAACTCATTTCAAAATAATTAAACAGTTATTTTACTATTTATTAGTAATCTGTAATAGTGAATTCGTATTTGGTGCATTTAGGTGATACATGAAACAAATTGATTGTTGATATTGATTCGGCACTGCAGTCGAACGGATTATTACCGCACTATCACCAACAGTGTAGATGTATGTGATGATATAGTTTACAGTTCCTTGAAAATTTGCCCGACGTCAGCACCAAACCAAAATTAGAACTCTAATAAATATTAATAAAAATGGAAACGGCATGCCACTGTGTTTTACTATTCATTAGTAATATGTAATAGTGAATTATTTTGACTTTTGCATTCAGCTGATACATACAATGAATTAATTGTTGATACCTAATCTCATCTCTGCGCTGCGGTCAAACGCAATATTGTCGTATCATCATTAGACAATCGCGTTGCCAGATCTAATAGTTTTGTTTCTGCAAGAATTGGCTTGATGTCAGCACCAAATTGAAAATAACAACAATCATTTTCATTCACGTAAATATTATCATTAACAAACAATTTTATAAGTGTTTCGCAAAAACTATACTGAACATTTTGGTATATGACTAAAATTCACTTTCAAAAATTTCAACCAATGTATCAACAACTCACAACATTCCATCGAACGAATTAATTCATATAACATTGGAAAACAACTATCATTTGAAATAAAACAAATTTTGTGAAGAATCAATTTCAATGTATAAAAAAATCTGGTAAAATCTGTTTTTTCGTTAACCAGCTGTCGTCCCCCTACAATCGACAACTCTCAAAAGTCGAAACTCGTGCGAGCTAAACGATAGGAAGTGAAAATCGATCGTCCGGCTACGGTTCGTACCACCGGTTGACACAGCGGTCGGTCGATTGTGTCGAACAAACCACCCACGTCAACCCACCAGGCTACCATCCTTCCCGTTCAACAAATACATCAATCAATTGAATGAAAACAAATGAAATGTTGAGTTAATGAATTGAGGAATGAATATTCGAAACAATAAAAAGAAAAACGGCATTTCATAATGTTTTTCGGAGAGTCAATTCTCTCAATAAAAGTAGACCTGGAACCCCTATCATAAAATGAATTCAGAACACTCATTCATCTCAAACACCACAGCTTCAACACTCTTCTCAACACGCGTTTCACCATTCAAAATGGCAACTTCATACAAACGGAAGTATTCAGTTGAATAGTTCAGGGATTCAATAATTTTTGTGAAAAAAGGTTGGTTGGGTAACAGGAACAATTTTTTCAAAAAAAAACGATTGTTTTTTTTTTCAAGGCTTGTAGTTTTTTCGTGTTGATATATCTTATATGTCTGATGGTTTTTAAAATAGTAATATTTGATTAGAATTTGATTAAATTCGAAACATTGGCAAGAAAACAATTTTTTTTAAGAAAAAATTGATTCTGTTACCCAACCAACCTTTTTTTCAGAAACGAGAGTATGTTGAAAACTATCAATTCCAATTTTGAAATAGTACCTACTCACTTGAAGACAATACAAAACGAAAATGTAACACTGATCTTCAAAATGATTCAACATGTTGAGCAAAACCAGCCGCATTGTGATAATTTCCAAGATATTCATTTAAAAATTGAATGGTTATATGAAAGACAGATATAGGTATGCCTTCGTAAACTTTTTTGGGGATCTATCAATATGTTGCGAAACGTTTTGTTTTCAATGAAAGTTTACACGGCTAGCACCACCGCCCCGACTTATCACGGAAAACTTTGTCATATTTGGAACAATCTAAACGAAATATCAATAAACTGAATCACTCTGTTAATGGTGAGAACCGTATAATAATCCGTTCCATATTTTTAGAGTTTATCGTGCTCAAACAGACAGGTAGGGAAGCAGGTAGACACAGCAACAGCTGACTAATTTTTAATATATGTAGTGAATATCGTACTCATACGATTAGTTTACATAGAATTCTGAAATCATGTTTCATTATTTCTGTTTTGTTTTAAATTAAGGTTATACTGATAGTACTTACTTTTTATTTCTTCAAGTTGCCTTGTTTAACTAACTGTTATTTCCAGTTTTTTTTATCGAGAGATATATCACATATATTTTAACTTATTTGTTTTACTAACGTATTCATATTTGTACCGAGAAAACAGTACCGAGAAAACAGTAACCTCATGTTCAACTGAGAATTAAAATCCATTTTGTAATTAGTAAACAAACATTAATATTATTACTGATATTATCATCATTTTATTCTTTTAATAATTCATTTCCATATCAGGTCACAATAATGCATGCGAATATTTCTGTACTGGGAATTTCAAAGTCTAATTAATCTTTTTTTTTCATAGTTTTCAATGCTGATAACACTTCTATAAGCAATGTAACCTTCAATATTTACCAAGTGTCGTCTATCCTGCCACTTGATGAGCCAGAAACACGTATCTTCGATTTATCTTTCAAATTCAGTTTGGTCTACTTATTTTCTCCTTCAATTTGCATCAAACCACTCACTCATCAAAAATCATTCTTTTTATGATTCACCCATTAATGTTTCTTCTACATTTTATTTCACCTCATTCATTTTCAGTTATGAAAAATTGCAAGTACATTAGATTGAAGACAACAAATAAATCCTTCACAAAGCTTCGCCAACTCGATTGTTGAAATAATTTTAATCCAAGTTGATGCAGTTTGCTAACAAAAGCCTCACGATATAATTAATGACCTGAATAAAGCCTCTGCTCCACAACCCGCAATATGGTCGACTATATAGAGCAGGGCCGAACTCAATTCATTTGTAGTGATCTACAAAGAGTTCAAAAAGAAGTTAGAGCAGCGACAGGTCAACTAAAAAAATGTACGGGCACAATTGAGAAGGTATTCAACTGCACCGTTGATGTAAGTTGCAAACGTAATTTCGACCACCCTTCAACAATATATCTAAATATTTATGTTCTAGCACAATTTATTTTAACTGGAATATTAATTTTTTGAGTGGAATATAACTGACATTGTGTCATTATTATATGTACAGTGCGGTCCATATGTATGGAATAAATTCATTTTCAGCGTTATTTTGTACTATGTGAAAAAAACCCGAAACAGGTCGATTTTCATTCTTTAATTGACAATTCACAGTATGAAAATAGTATCCCCCTCCAGCACCCCTTCTGAATTATAAGCACCCCCTCGAAAATTTTAAATAGCAAAGAGGGTCGTGTGGCACCTTGTTGGAAAGGGATTTCAGTCCTCTGTTCAGCAATATAAAGTTTTTTAAGTTTGTGAAATCGACCTGAAACAGGTCGATTTTTATTCTTGAATTGACAATTTACAGTATGAAAATATTATCCCCCTCCAGCACAGCTTCTGAATTAGAAGCAACCCCTCGAAAATTTTAAATAGCAAAGAGGGTCGTGTGACACCTTGTTGGAAAGGGATTTCAGTCCTCTGTTCAGCAATATAAAGTTTTTTAAGTTTATTAAGTTTATTCCATCACCAGTATTTTACCACTGGAATCTGTTATGTGATGGGAAAAATAAGTTAATTCGACGAAAATGTAGGAAAAATAGAGTATCAATTTACATAGGCATGAATAGTTTACACGACACCGTATTATTATCACTGATATAACATACCGAAAGATTCGCAAGCAATTACAAATATTTGTCAGTTCTGCATATATCGGATTTAAATTGAAAAGTCATATACGTAATCCTCAAACCAGGAAAGGAATTTCTGGCAAAAACATAACAATCTGCACTGATAGCAGACAAGCCCTACTAGCCTTGAACAGAAAACGTGTTACCTCAGGGCTAGTATCAGAGTGTCACCAAGAT